TTAGAAAAAATGGATGTATGTGTGTATGTGTGTGTGTGTGTGTGTGTATGTGTGTGTGTATGTGTGTGTATGTATGTATGTGTGTGTATGTATGTGCGGATACAAATTTTCGTCGACGATTTCGGGAACATGGATCAACCGATTTGAATAATTTAAAAAACATTCGATTCGTATTGATAAGGAGACGTGCTGATTAGTTTTTGGCAAAGGCAGGTCTAGCCGTTCCGAAGATATGGGGCAAAAAGTGCCAAAAACGGTACCTCAGTTTTTAAGAGAACGGAGCGTCCGATTTGAATAATTCAAAAAACATTTCACTTGTATTGACAAGATGAAGAATCGATAAAATTTTCATGAAGGTAGGTCTAGCGGTTTCGGAGATATAGAGGAAAAAGTAAAAAAATGGGCCATTTGGCGGTCAAAAATGATCATTAGACATATGCACATCAAATTATCAGATATTTTATAGAGATTTTAACAATAATTATACATTTTGTTAACATTCCTATGGGTTCCGTACCAGTGCTCATGCGTTAGACAGCGACGCGGCGCTTACGCGCTTTATATTTTGTCCCTATGCAGTTAAAGCAGTACGATTGCTTTGAAAAGAAAGTTCAGATCTTCCACAATATGTCAAAATAAAGAAAAAAAAATTTTTTTTTAAAAAAAAAAATTTAAAAAAAAATTTTAAAAAAATTTTTTTTTTCAAAAGAAAGTAATTTTTTGTCAAATTTATAGTTTCTCAAAAATCTCATTTTTTCAAAGTAAATTTTTTTCAAAAATGTTAATCGTTTTTAAAAAAAATAATAATATTTGGTTTGGAAAGTTCCAGCAATTTGCCTTAAGGCACGATGCCCTAATTGCCTTAAGACAGAATTCCACTTACAGCTAGTTTGTTCTTGCATTGAAATTAATGTTAAGTTGTGCATTTGCTGTGCAAAGGTGTTTTTTAAGTGTATCATTGACAAAATGTACATAGTGTTCATTTTGAAGTCAATTGTGCTAAGTGTTTGAAATGTCCCAAAACTAAAAATAATAGTAGCTAATAAAAAGTGATTTCTAAGACTGATTTGTTTTTGCTTGAAATTATATTGCTGTGCTCATGAAAAATGGTTCCTGGGAAATAAAGGTAAGACAATAAATAATATTAGAATTGATTCATTATTTTGTGTTATATAATATATGAACTCGATTATTTTAACTCGAACTTAATTTGCTCGATGATATATTGTCAATCATTCTATACTGTTTTATGAATGTTTTATCAATTTTAATAAACAAATTAAGATTTTAATGAAATATTTATACTATTTTTAAAATTGCACAATCAATCAAGTAATTGCATATTGGTGTCTTATTTGAATATAGTGATTTCAATCATAGATAAAACAAGGGTATTGTGATTTCAAAGATACCAAAAATCTAGAAAATTGTTCATTTAAGTGGTGTGCTATTCATAATTTGAAACTATTATTTTTTCAATTATGATAGTATTTTTTTAAATTTTTTTCATAAATTGGTCAGCTCATAAAAGATGTTAAATTTGTATTCACGACAAGATTTTTTTTGACTAAATTTGTATTACTAATTCTATTGTAATTACTAGTTTAATTGCTATAAATATTTTTATTTAATTTTTGAAAGGACCTTGTATTTACAATGAATTTACTCATTACAGATTTCGATACTGTTTATGAATTTGTTGAACATATCTGTTTAGAAATATATATTTGCACACACACACACACACACTCGAATATATATATATATATATATATATATATATATATATATATATATTATATTTTTCTTTTTTATGCTTCATTTTTTAAGAAAAAGTGCATAATCCATTCCTTCATCAAAAAAAAATTATTATTTTGTAATCATCATCATTAATACTGTTATTCTATATTGAAATTCTTGACAGAAGAACCTGATGATGGAACGTACCTAGTTCCGAAACGTCGTAATAAAACATCTACAAAAACACTTTTTTTTATTTATTAGATTAATTGTTCGGAACATGAACCCTTATCAATTTATTAAGAAAATCCAGGAAATATCAATTATATATATAATGCATAAATGAATGATTTAGTGCTACATTGCCTTGCTGATTTAAAATATATACTGCCCAAAATTCTATTTATACACTGTCTATCATAATTTTAATTTTTCTATGGGTAAGCTTTCTGAAAATTAATTTATAATCATTAAAAAATAATTTAAATCTGAATGTCTATAGTACCTTCAAATATTGATTATATTATTCAAAAAAAATTTTTTCAAATATATTTTTTTCTAGTTAATGCATTTTTAATCTCATTAAGAGATATCCGATACCTCACAAATTGAAATCTAAGAAATTACTAAAGAAATCTTACTGCAAACATATAAATCACTAATTATTTCCCCATATAGTACAAAAATTAGTTCCACCTCCAAACATACGTACCACACAAAATTTCTCAAAATTCATACCGCACACCGGCATTATCTGTCCAGTATCATAAGTCAACTTTTTAAACAAATATTTCATTTCTTTAAAGCGATTTTAGTCGTCAGAAGAATCGTTTCAAAGCCACGCCGATTAAAATTATCTCAAGCATAACCATACGGTTTATTTTTTGAAGTTATTGTATTCCGGGCGTTTTGTGTGGCTTAGCGATTCTGGACAATGTATTAGGTAGGATATCAATTTTTATTCAAAGGAACTACCTGTAACTAATTGAGGTGTAAATTTTGGTGCGTTCGTAAATTCTGGCAGAGTCTTTGGATAGAAGACTGTTATGTTATGGGATGACTGTGTTTACCTGCTCCGATTTGTGAGACCTAGTAATAGACTGACAGTTGATCAACGTTTTACTCATACATTTTTCTCTTTTATTACTTAAAAAATTGTAATGTTTAAATAGTGAGGCGCATAGCATCGTGCCTTAAGGCAAATTGCTGGAACTTCTCGTGCCAGAAATTATTATTTTTTTTTAAAATATTAACATTTTTGAAAAAAAAATACTTTGAAAAAAATCAGATTTTTGAATTACTTTACGAGAATGACTTTTTTTTTGAAAAAAATAACATTTTTTTTTTTTGAAAAAAATTTTATCTTTATTTTGACATATTTTGGAAAAACTGAAATTTTTTCCAAAGCAAACGGACTGCTTTAACTGCATAGGGCAAAATGTCATAGCGCGTAAGCGCCGCGTCTAACGGATAAACCTTGGTACGGAACCCATGGGAATGTAAACAAAATTTATACTTATTGTTAAAATCTCTATAAAATATCTGATAATTTGATGTGCATATGTCTAATGATCATTTTTGATCGCCAAATTGCATTTCTTTTTACTTTTTTTACTAGAACTCCGAAACCGCTACGTCTGCCTTCATGAAAATTTGATCACTTCATCTTCTTAATACAAGTGAATTGTTTTTTGTATTATTAAAATCGGACGCTCCGTTCTCTTAAAAACTGAGTTACCGTTTTTGGCACTTTTTGCTCCGTATCTTCGGAACGGCTAACCCTGCTTTCGCCAAAAACTAATCAGCACGTCTCCTTAACAATACGAATCGAATGTTTTTTGAATTATTCGAATCGCTTCATCCATGTTCCCGTAATCGTCGATGAAAATTTGTATCCGCACACACACACATCCATTTTTTCTAAGGTATGCCAAAATGTTCAGAAGATTTTGAAACGTAAAAATATATAATAAATGTCATTTTCGATTTTTTTGCGATTACTATAACTTGCCCTACGGGAAGTTAATTAGTTTTATTATTTATTCGATATCAACAATTTAACAATTGCTATTTGAATTGAAACTACATCTACATAGAAACACATTATTTGTCATTATCGATCACGGTTTGTTGCAGAATAAGCAGCATACTTTTATATCTAAGTATTCAAATTTTATTTTGAATGATCAATAATTCGTAATTAATATATTGATGATATCAATTCAAAGTAAAATTTATCTCGTTTCATATGATAAAAATTAATGTTTGAACAATTATACAAAATGCTACTAATTACTGTCTGTACTGATAATATAAGGAATTATATTATCTGTGCGATCAGGCGTTTTACACATAAAATGCAACTTTGCTCATATGTTACCATTTACATATATATGAATTTATAATATACAATTCAATATAATGACAAGTTTATATTATTCTTTCTATCAACTGATTTGTAGAAAATAAATGTTCTTAACAATATTTCCACCAGCCGTCTGATTATATCTAAAAAATCGGTAAAATGCATAGTGGTTTCCCAGTTTTGTTTTCTTGTCCTCTCTTTCGGTTTTATAATCTGCAAAGTTTAAAAACATCTATAATATTGCAACTCGGTTTACTTTTACATTTAATTAATTACATTATATACCCAGTAGACGCGCCGCTGGTTGTTGTTACTATCTTCTTGTTTATATTATAAGATAATTATTGTTAACAATCTCTGCTTAATGTTAATGCCTATGTAAAACAGATTGCAGAATCAATTAAATAAAAAAAAAATCAATTACATAAGTTTAATCATTTCATGTTAAGAATTGCTAGATAGTTAATCTTAAGTAGATAAAAAATCTACGCAATCTGATAAAAGAAAAAAAATTATAACGACCTAGACAATTCGCATAAAATATACGATGGTGCAATTTATACAAGAGATTTTGAAAATAGATATTGAATTTGTAGATTTGATTTTGATAGCCATAGGAGCATTTTATTAGGGGTACAAGAAATTGAAAAAAATGTACTTCTCACGAATAATATTTAGTTAAATGTATGTATTATCATTTATTGTATCAATTATTTATACAATATTTTATATATTTTATCATATATTAATTGTTATTATTATACTGTTATTTACATAAACTTTTTTCAATTTTTTTTTATACAGCAATCAGAACTCTTTTGCTTTTTTCAAAATGTTTTACAATTTCTTTTTTTTTTTCAGGATTGTTCCAGAAATTCTACAAGCAGTACACCTAGTAGTAAAAACTTGCAATGACTACAAGTAGTAAGTGTTTTTATGATATATAATTAGTATATTTAAATTATATTAAGTTTTGGTTATTGTCTCGGCGTTGAAACAAATTTCATATATGAAGCAGCCAATTCGTCGAATTAAACTCTTGGATAGTTTTGCATTTTTTAAGTAATAAGCATAATAGTTTTGTCGAATAATTTTGAATTTTATTTATTTTATATTTATCATTATGTTTTAGTGCTGCGATGTTATAAAATGTATAATCAGAATTGTTCTAAACTCATTTGTTTTGTTCTAAATTGGTCTAAACTCATTGGTTTTGTTTTTCCTGAAATGAATTGCTGATTGATGGCATATATAATATATCTAAACATATATAAATAAAGAAAATTTAATATTATTGCTGATTTATGTATAACTTTTACAAACTAATAACTTACAAACCTTTGATTGAAAATAAACATTATTCTCATGAATCACAATAGATGCCTACTGATTCTGATTAATATGATGCAAATAAAAACCTTTGACTTTAGTAAAATATAATATGATTAAATTATGAATTATAGCAAAAAAAAATGTATATTTTATTTGTTCTACCAAACTTAATGAGGAATTAAAACACCTATGCTAATAAGTACTTTAATTCCTTCGATGACTTTGTTAGAATTAATAAAATATACCTTTCTCGCTGTAATTTTTAATTTAAATAATATTTTATTCTTGTTCCTGTTTTTTCTTTCTTTTTTAAAATTTAATTATACAATATTTAACTCAGTTTTAATAGAAATAACTTTTTAATGATATTTCATTTATATTTTCATAATGATTATGTTAAGGATAATATTAGATGATAATGGGTTTGGGTTTATTAAAGATCAAATATTAACTATTCGTTATTTGTCTGATAATTTTCCTATTGGCCTGTATTATAAAATATCCCAAGTAATTTTTTTAGTATTTTTCTAACTTCTTACTTTCGTATTCTTAGTTTAATAAAGAAGAAATAATCAAAAAATATTAAATTTTGGCATTCAAAGTTTTACCAAGAGCGTCGACAAAACGTAGTTTCTAGCCGTTTCTCCATATACATACTATCTTATTATAATTTTTAAATTTCTACTAAATACCATCCTTGCAATGTTGCATCACATATCGCAATTTCAATAAATCATTCTGGTATCTCATGTTGAATCTTCAACTGCGTAAACGTTAGTCTTAAAATTCGACATGTCTATTTTGTGCTAGGTTAATTAACTCGAAACATATACCTGTTTAAAACTGAAACAAATAAATAAAACACGTTTTTTGGTCACATTTTCCGTATGTTCAGTAAAACACTGTTTTATCATTTGTGGGGATCTGGAGACGTCTGCAATTTCTTGAAAATATACAAAAGTTAGGTACCGTTTTCTTTTGTCTCAATCGACTTCAACCAAGATGTCATCTGTGACCCACAGCTATGTCTGGCATAGTTTTTTGTCTTTGGTATCATTTTCGACATCTGTTTTTATTTATCGCTTTTGAAATTTAGTTCTTTTTGTTGACTTTATTTTTCCTAATGGTGTTAATTATTTAGAGTACTACTGATTTATGATAGGTCTCGTTTTTTTTTTTTAATTTTTTTATTTATGTACTAAATATTAATCATAATCGAGTGAATAAATCTTCATTTATTAGTCACTTAGATATGTTTAAGACATGTAAAAATGTATTTTTTTAGATTTTTATAAAAATATAAAAATAACATTATAAAATGTCTAATAATTGGTGGATTTGCAACCACTGGTTCCAGGTTCTATTCCTTCATTGACCAGCTTAAATATCTTACATAATCTTTAATCAAATCTTTGTAAATCTTTAATATCAATCAAAGTACAAATTATATTGCTTCCAAATATTTATTAAAATTTGTTCAAATAACTTTCATCTATTAACAGGAGTTCTACAGCTTCTATTTTATTGTACTTTCTCAATCTCGAATTTACCACATCATGGTTCAGTAGCCGAACTTCTAATCCAAAAATTCATGATGTGCATTTTTTTAAATTCTTTTATATTTTTTATTATAAAGTACGTAGTAATCTTTATATAAACGCACCGACGTCTATCCACGTATGAAATTAATAAATTAAATGTCACAAGGTATGTAGAATGTTATATAATGTAGTTCGATTTAAAATAGGGCCGAACTAGGAAAAATATTATTCAAATATATAAGTATATTATAATATACTTATATATATATATATATATATATATATATATATATATAAAATTATATTTTAGTCCATAGAATATTTCTGCATACTTTGTCATTAAACTTTAAGCATTTCATGCATTGGAGTCAATCCTAAATTCAAATTTATTTCCCAAAAAAAAATTAGTTTTGAATTGTTTTATTCCTTAGTTATTTATGTGGAGATGTAACTAAAATGATTTGAATAACTAAGTAAATGAATAAAAGGACTCATTATCACACAAATCCCCACAGCTTAATTCCATAGGTCCAGATTGGTTTAATGATTGATTTATATTATTTTCAACAGACTCATTACGCAGTAGCCAATCAAATTCTTTCATTTTGATCATTATTTGCTACTTTTTTGTTTTTATGTGGCTTTTCCAAGTAAGTCTGCTGTCTAAATGCGATCTCAACATGAAAACTTTGCAATTAACGTTCAAAGAATTTAAGGAAAAATACAAACTTTGAAATCTCATTCAAACTCATCAATAGACGACATTAACCAACTATTTGGCGTAAGAAGATTGAATTGCCTTTAGATTTAGTCTTAGATTAGCTTCAATATATCATTATCTTTTTAATTGTTAAACTAAGAAGATCTCATTGGAGTTCTTCTTAGACATCGCTCTCATATATTGTCAATTTAGCTTATAGGAATTCTTATATATTTCTGATTGCTGAATAAAACAGAGTTAAAAATAATTGCATCAATAATATTTTATCGATTTTATCAATAATTTTAATGATCCAAAACACATGTTACTTACTTGTATTGGCGAAATGAAGAATTGATAATTTTTGATAAGGCAGGTCTAGCGGTTTCGAAGATACAGAGGAAAAAGTAAAAGAAATGATATTTGGCGGCCAAAAATGATCATCTGATATATGCACATCGAATTATCAGATATTTGATAAAAATTCAAAAAATTAGTACTAGTTTTGTTTCAAATTTCTGGGTTCCGTACCAAGATTGTTAAGTTTCAAAGTTTATTTATATAGTTCAAGCAAATTTCAAAATTTTGTGAATTTTTTTTTCAAAATTTTCAAAAATATACAAAGTTATATACTTCAAATATGAACTTTAATTCAGTTTGAAAATGTAAATATTTCAAATCTAATCGTAAGAAATATATGCTGAGATCGGTTCATACGGCACATTTTGCTAATGTAAACTTTTTTTTTTTATTATATTTTTAACAGCAGTCAGAACCTTACGTCCTATAAGCTGTTGGGCTGAAACTTCTCCTTACTTCGTATTTTTTAGATGGTAACCCAATGGTTAATCCATCCATATTTGATTATTTTTGTTATTAGAATTAATCTAATAGGGTTGACATTTTATTGGTGCAGCAATGCCGGGCAAGGGCTATTTTCACTTGGAAAAATATTGCTACCTATATTTTCAAGTGAAAACCGTTGTCACTGCTGCCTGACAACAGGCTGCTCGAAGTGGGTATCGAAGCCGGGACCTCTGAAACAAGTCCCGTCGCTCTTAACCGCTTACCTAAAGGCGATCCCTATACTTCAAATATGAATTTTAAATTTACATTTCAGTTTACATTTCAAATGCGGTAATTTAATCGTAAGAAATATATGCTCAGATGGGTTCATACGGCACATTTTGCTAACGTAAACTTTCTCAAGTGTTTTGAGGGATAAGATCGTCACTACATATTTTATGAAAGATAAAATATATAGTGATTATAATTATCTATTTGAAATTGTTTAAAACAATTGTTAATTGTTCAATATTTATTGATAACTGATTTTTTCCCTCGAATATTTAATTTTGGTTCCAGCAATTTGCCTTAAGGCACGATGCCATTCACCACTAGTTTTAAAATTGCATAAACCAAAAATAGGTATAGATCGTAAATTCCACTCTGTGCCTGTACCTTCCAAAATCTTGGCTTCGGTATCAAACAGCACGCTCGACTACCTCGCCGCGGCGTAGACCAACGTTCCTAATGGTATGATTTTATTCGGTTGACTGATCCCAGCCACACAATGTGCCACAGACAATGTGACAAACATTAGGTACATTTCGAAGAAAGGAACAGAATCACAGTATATCGCAACTCGGTAGTATTTCGCAACCGAAAAATCCATCAGACAATACCGAATTTATACGCTTGGCTATCAGCGAATCCGGGGTAGTAAGCCATTTAGTTATGCTTCGATAGAAGAACATGTCCAAGACGACCAGATCTCGGGGTTTTATTTCTATTTGTGTCATTGAATAAATAATATAAGCCTCGTGCAATTATATGTCGGCTGATAAATCTTAGGGTGCCGAAGACAAGGTGTTCAAAGTTTTAGTTTGATTTTAAACAAGATTACATTCAATCGGGATTGTATCATTTGTAAATCGCTCCTTTGCGGTTTGCTTGGTCTGAATCGATTTTATGCATTTAATAAATGTCTTCGATGAGTTATCGCTAAAAGCAGATGTGTGTTTCACAACGCATTTATATTGATCTCTTGAATGCCAAATTATTATATGTAATTACAAATTTTCATTATTTTATCTAAGGCTGGAGATAAAGAAACTTATTAGTTTTCGACAAACAATGCAATTCAAATTTATTTGGTGCAATAATTCAATAGTGTGCATTTTCTAATAAATCGTATTATTGGCGTTTTACTTCTTGATTGATGATAGTGTTCATAATTTAAACTAACGAGCCCTAAAATTTTTGGCAATTGGTTTAATATCAAAAATGGCTTGAAAATTGGATTAATGGAGCATACTTCTAAGAATACACTGTGTATATTCTGTTCTATG